GCCCCCACCTTCCCTGTCGATGGCGCTCTCCTCCTCCTCCTCCTCCTCCTCCTCCTCCTCCTCGTCCTCGTCCTCGTCCTCATCGTCATCGTCATCCTCCTCCTCCACCTCGTCCTCCTCCTCTTCTTCCTCGTCCTCCCTCTCCCCCCCTCGTCCTTTCATCATCGTCCTCCCATTGTCGTCCTCCCCTTCATCGGCCTCCATCATCGTCCTCCCAGCATTGGTTTGTTCAGTGAACGTGGTTCAGGTCGCGGGTGGGTCGCGGGCTCTCCACCTCCACCTGGAAGGAATGCAAAAGCAGCCCGCCGCAGGCGCTAAAAAAATGTGGCTTGTACACTTAGCGTGGTTTGGGTCGCGGGTGGGCCGCGGGTTCTCCACCGGGAACGAATGCAAAAGATGCCCGCCGCAGGCGCCGAAAAAATTGGTTTGTACCCTGAACGTGGTCGCGGGTGGGCCGCGGTCTCTCCTTAACGAATGCAAAAGATGCCCGCCGCAGGCGCCGAAAAATGTGGTTTGTACCCTGAACGTGGTTTGGGTCGCGGGTTGGTCGCGAGTTGGTCACGGGGTGGGTCGCGGGCTCTCCACCTGGAAGGAATGCAAAAAAAGCCCGCCGCAGGCGCCGAAAATTGTTGTTTGTACCTTGAACGTGGTTTGGGTCGGGGGTGCGTCGCGGGTGGGTCGCGGGGTAGGTCGCGGGTGGGTCGCGGGTGGGTCGCGGGTGGGTCGCGGGTGGGTCGCGGGGTGGGTCGCGGGGGCGGGGCCGCGGGCAGGGTTCGCGGGGTGGTCGCGGGGTGGGTCGCGGGGTGGGTCGCGGGTGGTCGCGGGTGGGTCGCGGGGTGGGTCGCAGGGGGCGCGCGTAGGGTCGCGGGGTTTTTGGGGTCGCGGGTTGGGTCGCGGGGTGGGCGCGGGGGGGGTCGCGGGGTGTGGGTCGCGGGGCGGTTGTCAGGGTGGGCGACGACAAAAACAACAAACCGCACAACACAAAACAACACAACAACAGAGCCAACAATCAACAACACAACACACACACCAACAACAAACAACAACAACAACAACAACAAAACCAACCAAACAACAAACACACAACACCACCACCACCACCACCACCACCACCACCGACCACCACCAACAACAAACAACAACAAACAACAACAACAACGAGAATCCGCACCGCGGAATTCCACTTCAGCCACGCACCCAGGGACAGTGAATGACCGTTCGGCCCCCTCACTCTGACAAAGGGGGGGCTTTCAAACTTGATGGGGGTGCGTCCGAATTTACCGCCCCGCCGCGGGTGTACTCCTAAGCTTGCACTCTCGCCTAAGCGGCTAGCTTTGCTCAGGGGGGGGGGGTCGGGCATTGGGCGCGAGAAGTCGCCTGCGAAGGTGCTCACCGCCAATCCCTATGCTGACGGCACCCCGGCCTCGTACAGAGGGCCCTGGGAGATCCAACTCCCAGCAAGTGAACGTTATCTTATTCGGCGTCTCGATATTGGGCGGAAGGGGGGCGGGAGGGGGGATCTGGCTCCGAACCTCTGCTTAGTTAGGGGGCCACATGCGAACCCTGCCCCTCCCCCCCACGATTTCTGAGAGGGAGGGTGGGGTTCACTTTGCTCGGGAGCTCCCGAACGAAGTGAACCCCACCCTCCCCCTCAGAAGTCGTGGGAGGTAGGGGTAATGTTCGCGTGTGACCTCCTTTACACGCCGGTCGGAAAAAGTGGGTAGAAACATGAAACATGAAACGGGAACTCCGCCCACCCCCTGACGAGGAGGGAAGAAGGAAAACCGCCCGACTCTTGAAGTAGGGAGGCGCCGTCCAGAAACGACTCGGGATGGGAAGACGGCCCCGGGGACCAGGACCGTCCAGAGTGCTACAGAAAGAGCCCTCCAGACCTGTAGACCTAGTTATCTGGATTGCTTGAAACCTCGACAGTAATTGAAACGTCAAGGTCCTGGTGCTATGTTTTGGCCCTCCTGGAAGCTCAGGGGAAGGGGCCCAGACCCCTGGGGGTCGACGTTGTGAAGCAATCGCGGCGTCGGGGAAGCGGGGTTGACAGCGCCGGCCCGGGAAGTCCGCGCGGCCCTCCCAGGAGCATGCCGACGCCACATGTGTCCGGCCCCACGAGGAGGGCCTCTGAGGGTGCCTGGCGCTGCAGCCGTGCTGCTGCCTCAGAGACCGTGCGCATTGAAAAAATCAAGACGGAGGTGTCTCGCAGTTTTCGGCCTCTAGGGGTCCCCGCTGGGCCCCAGGGCCGTCAACAAAACGACTCAGGATGAAAAACCGGTCCTCGGGAGCTGATCGAGGCTTCCGGGGACCCCGTATTGAAAAAATCACGACATCGGGTCTATGGGGGTGCCTGTCGCTGCAGCCGTGCTGCTTCTCTGCCCATGAGGTCTCCGAAGTCCGGGGATGCCCCTGGAGGTCCCACAGAGGCCAGAGGCACAACAGGCATGCCCCCAACCCCCTATCCTCGACCCTGGAGCATCATCGCGCTACCATAACAGTGGGCGCTGAAACAGGAACGAGGGTGCTTTTCTGGCCACGGCGAGTCTCGGCCACGAACAAGTTTCTCGACCGACCTAGATCTCAGAAGCGGCCCGAAAAACATAGCCCCGTCTGAACCCAGCATGCTCCTGTATCCGACGTCTGCACTCTAGCCCTCAGCGCCCCTGGTTGCACGCCCCCAAGCAGAAGCCTGGAGGAGGCCGCCACGGCGGGAGACAAAAACAGTCCCGACTTGAGGCTGTCCCCGAAAAACGACCCGGAATCAGAAGCCGGTCCCCTCCAGGGAGCCACGTTGCGACACAATCACGCCGTCGCATGTCTGGGTCCTCCACCTCACCCCCACACACACACCCGTCCTTCCCAGATCTCAGACGCCTGTTCTTCTCACGGCAGGGGCCCCCGGAGGTCTCAGCTCCACTCCAGGTGCCGCGAAGCCTCGATCCTCGAAACCTGACACTCGGTAATTCAAGGTGATGTCCTGGGGGTGCCCTGAGAACCTGCACTCGGGAATCATGACGACCTGACACTCGGGTGGTGCCATAAGAAAGGCGTGCCTCGAGCAACGTACATCGACCCTTGGCCCTTCGATCCCTTTCTGTCCTTAGGTCCCCATCCCTCAGTGGAGACAAAAAACAACATAAACATAAACTTGTGGCGCTCCGCGCGGATTTCTTGGATCTGCGCTGGACCCCCCCCCCCGGGGTGGCGCTGGAGGCGCCGCCCGGGGGCCCCCAGCGCGGATCCAAGAAATCCGCCCTGGGCGCCAAAAGTTCATGGTTCTGCCCTTTGTCCTTCTTCGATCTCTACCCTCAGGCTTAAGTCGGGCCTGTCCCCATACAGGCCGATCTTCGAGGAAAAACTGCAAGAGAGTCAAAACATATCCCAAAATGATTTTTTAAATGCGCAAAAGATGGTCCCCCGATTATTTCCTACCTTTTTTGACTATTCCTCCTGTAGAGGGACAGGCCCGATTTACGTATCCTCAGGCCCCCATCACCCAGGTTCTGATGTTCCAACCTACTTTAGCCTTGACTACCAGAAAGAATGTCGTGCACCAAGAAAGTCCCGAGACTTCCGGGTTTTCATGTGCCGGGCCCTGGGAGGCGATACTCGTCACCCAGAGATAATTCGAGCACCCAGAAAGGTGTCGAAGCGGTGTCGAACGAGTATCGCCTCCCAGGGCCCGACAAGTGAAAACCCTGAAGTCTCGGGACTTTCTTGGTGCACGGAATTCTTTCTGGTAGTCAAGGCTAAACTAGGTTGGAACATCATAAGGGTAGGGGGAGGGGGGAAGGCTTCTTAGAAGGAGTCTGCTTCTTAGGAGGCGCCGGCCTTGCATCTACAGAGGAGGCCCGCGCCTTCTAAGAAGCAGGGGTGCTTCTCAGACGCCCACCCCCATCCCCCTACCCCCCCTCTGCTCGTGGCTGCGAATCGTTTTTTGGACGGTCCGGGGGCCCACCGAGGGCCCCCCGAGGCGGGATACAGAGAAAGCCTACAGTTGTTTGTTGTTCTCTCTCTCTCTCTCTCCCTCTCTCTTGCTACATATTTGTATAACATAAGATTGATAATCTTAAAAATAATAATAAAGCTGATAATGATAACAATAAGGAGGATAATAGTACATAGAGAATAACAAAACGCGAGGGGGCCATGGGCCTACGGGGACTGGGACTGCAGCTGCTCTGCTCTGGCCGCGCGGGGTGGCGGGCGCGGCCCAGGAAGCACAGCGTGGGCCACGCCGGCGGCGGCCACGCCAGCCCCTGCTCGGCGGCCTTGTCCTCCGAGGCCATCCAGACCTTCGCCGCGC